TGTCTGCTATCTCCCTGGTACATGTATTTCACTCGACCCCTGCCCCCCATTTGTGCTATTCGATGCATAATTCGTCCATCCCTTGCACATGGGCGATTAATTAAAGGCAAAAGCCTCAAAGTAAGTGTCATGGTCATGCCTTTGCTAAATGGAAGACATCTCTTATAAAACCTACTGTCAGCCAACTAGCTACAATCGCCGCCTCGTCTATCTTGTCTCTATTCCTAATACCAAGTATATGACTTGTCATGCCCTATTTGCTTGTGTGCCAACCCACAAATGTTGTGGTACTGCTGGCTTTGTTTAGGTTCAATGTTGAACCACAAAGTTTGTGGGTTGGCACACAAGAGCTGAGTAAAATTGACTGGTTTCCCGAGGTCTACTCCTATCATTATGGGAAAAAGTAAACTATCAGTACTCTATTACTTTATGCAAATTGGGGTAAATACACCTTTTAAACACAATTATCGACTAAACAAGAAATAGGCAAACGCACCGACTAATACGAAGTAATTGGTAATCAAATTCAAGCCTTTTGTCTATCGAACAGTGAAAAAAACACATTTTGATTCATAATGCGCCAAAGTGCGGCTATTAAATGCAATATTCGCAAATTTCCGTCAAAATTTGGAAGTATTATTAATTGTTGATTTTATACGACAGATTGCTTGGTTTGTAATGCTACGGCGGTTCCAAGGAAAACGTGTATTTTAAGTTGGCCAGTATGAGGCTACTACGAGAGAGAGTTAGCCAAATACCCCCAATTTCCAAACCTATTGTACTGTGGAAGGAAATGGCGCCAGCATAGTCGGCCCTCCAAGTGGAAGTCAAGTGTTTTCGCAACTTGGTCATATTGGTAGGAAGACTTAGAGGAACTCATCTAGTCCGGAGTTCATTGTATGCATCATCGTTTCCAAAGTCGGACCGTGGAAGTGGTACATTCACAGACGCTTCGCCGGCATCGTGGTCGGCATCGTCAGTGAGGCTCGCCATTCTTAGCCCCACAAAACAACGATAGGAGACTGCGACCACACAAAAAGCAACACCATCTTGGTCTTCATACCTTCGATCTAATTTTATGTTCCAGGCTGCGACACTTGGGTTTGGGAGACGCAGGTCGAGCTGATGGATGCGCCTGAAGGACCTGTTGTTATGACCCCTCAGTTACTCACCGAAGGACGCGAAAGTGAGGAAACATGTTGGACTATTTTTCATTGCTTGCATTCTAGCCCAAATTGGAATTTGGCACATTTATGGCAACCCGTCGCCCTCTACTGCCAACGAAGTACATCTTATAAAGGCGCTTTTAACGAAGCCTGTCTCATAATTCCTGTCTCAGAAATTCTCACAAGGAGGCAAAAACATTGTTTAAGCTTTAGTTCCTCTACGAGACCCATTTTCATTAAAGAGTGAATATATTTATGCTTCACGCCTATGGGGATTATAACTTACATGAACAGATATTTTAGGCATAATTTAAAAATGTATGATATAAGTTTGGCCTTCAGGCATCATTAACTTTTTTGTGGTCGACCAAAAAGAATACGCAAATCTAGGCCGCAACGAAGGGACCCTTCATGCTTGAGAGTTTGCAAGACCCCATGTCTGCTGTACCGTCAAGCAGATGAGTCAACATTTGCGCCAAACACAACTTATCAAGGGTCCATGTGAAGTATGTCCATCGGATGAGGCTTTTGGTTCGAAGAAGCGAAGAGTCGTTTCGACCAAACACTTCATTTGGCATTCTCAGAGTGGCTTCCATTTCATCTGGAAGGGAGTTCGTTTCACCGGAAGACAGCAGATTTCCCTTGCCTCGGTGTCATCTCAAAGTTGTCACACAAATGAGAGAATGAAGTTTAAAGTATTTTCATATGAACGGAAGGAGGGCGTCTCGATAGGCTACATCAGCATGAACGCCCAATTTGGTTATAACAACATCAGTACCAATAC